GCTGCTCTTGCTGCTGTTGCTGCTGCTGCTGCTGCTGCTGCTGCTGTTCCCGTTGCTGCTGTTCTTGCTGCTGGCGTTGCCCCTGCTGCTGCAGCTGCAGCTGCTGATGATGACGAGGATTGTTATGTTGTTGCGGATGCTGCTGTTGCTGTTGCTGCCGTTGTTGCCACAGTTGGTGCTGCAGCACGTGTGCTGCTGCCACACCTCGGCAGACACCTGCTCTCACGGCTACATTCGACTCATCTGCCCCGTCTCCCGCACTGCTTGAATGGTCCCTCTCCTCTGCAGCCACTCCCGCTTGACGAGCGGCAGCAGAATCACTGTTCACTGCTGCATTAGAAGCACCCACACCTGCTGCCATACCCCCTGCCGTACCTCCTGCCACACATCCTGCCGTACCTCCTGCGATCCCTCTGCTATCATTGGTGTCAGCAGCCAAAGGATGCAGAGCAGCAGTGGCAGCAGGCATGGCAGCAGCGTTGATATGCCTGAAACCAGCATCAGCAGGCCTGCTAGCAGCAGTAACATGCGTTGCAGCAGGCAGCAGCGGAGCAGAGGCACACATGGCCCGCTTGCTTGTGCCGCCCAGAAGCGGGTCGTCTGCCTGTCTCCGCCGCCCAGATGTGAACACAGGTGGCTGCGAGCATGGCTGGGGGGATGCACCCGCCTGCAATGATGCATTCTGGGGGGGTGTACGTGTACCCACATGCAGTAACGCATTCAGCTGGGGAGATGCACCCGTGTGCTCCAAGGCTTGCACAGGAGGGGGCGATGGGCACACGCGCTGTCTTTGCGAGTTTTCACCCTGTCTGGTTGGATTCAGGGGCTGCAGGGGCGAATCTCTTGACCACACCTGCTGCCGCCCCTCAACCTGTACTGACCTCACCTGCTGCCCCCCTGCCTGTGCTGACTGCACCTGCTGCTGCCTCACTGCTGCTCTCCTATGCCGCACAATCTCTCCCTCTGCTCCTCCTCTGTTCCTGTCAAACCCACCTTGCCCGCCCCCCGCCCCTCCCCTTCCATCTCCACACAGTTCCCCTGCCAGCCTGCAACACCTTCCCTGTCACGCTGCTGATGGCCCCCTCCCCTGTGCTGCATGCCTTGAAGGGACAAGCCGTTGAGTGGCTGCATGCGGCTTGAAGTGGGGATGCCTGCATGTGAGCCCGATATACCATGTTCGTTCAGCATGTCAGTTGCTGCTTGTCGTTCTGAATGTGTCTCTTGTGCTCCCTGCTGCATTCCCTGCTGCGGCTGTGCTACCCGTTGCTCCTGTGCTCCCTGCAGCTGCTGCACACTCTGCTGTGGCGACTGCTGCTGACTCTCTTGTTGCTGCTGCTCCCTCCCCTGCTGCCTCTTCCGCTGCTGCTGCTGTTGCTGCTGCCTCTCCTGCATTTGTCTCATCCGCGTGCCATGTAGCCCTCTTGCCTCCACCTCCCTCAGCACACCCCCCTGCACAGCCCCATGTGAGCCCCTAGCTTCCCCTGTCCACCCTCCCTCCACTGTCTCTCCTGTCCCCTCAACAACCACTGGCACTGCTGCCTCTGCAGGAGCATCGGCTGTTCCTTCACGTACCATTGAATCACCCAGCTCCACTTGCCCTAATGTCTCCTGCCGCTGAGCTGCTTCTCCTCGTGCTCCTCCTGCTCCTGCTGCTCCACCTTCCACTGCGACTGCTGCTTGTATGACTGACGTTGGTGCTGCTGCTGCTCTGGCTGCGGCTGCTACTGCTGGCTGTGCGGGTGGCGTTGCCGCTGTTGCTGCTGCCGCTGCTGGTTGTGCAGGTAGAAACTGCCTATTTACACGTGCACCGGAGGGAGTAGACTCGCCACCAACGCTCTCAGCATTCCATGCACCAGCACACGTGGCAAGGGCATGGCTCGGCAGGGTAGGAGGAGGCAGCAGGGAGCGCCACAGGGTGAAGTCATGCGAGTGCGGCGAGAGAGAAAAGCCCAGCGGTCGCCCTGGGGTGAGGGAGAGACGTGAGCAGGGTGGGAGAAAGGGAGGGTACTCCAGAGGCATCCCAAAACACGGAGGTGGCAGGAGGCAGCAGGGCGCGCCAGAGAGTGCTGTCATGTGCATGCGGTGAGAGAGAGAAGAACAGTGGCCGACCTGGCGGGAGGGCGAGAAGAGAGAAGGGTGGGAGAGAAATGGGGGAAGAGAGGGGCGGAAGACCGGTGAAGTGTGATTTGTCCGCCATTAGAAATCCCATGGTTGTGCTCCTTTAGAGTATATCGCAGAGAGTAAGGAGATGGGCAGCCATACCGAGCAAAACGGGCAGATGTGTGTCCCAGCGGCTGCAGCAATGACCTTTGGGACGTCGCAACAGGGGTGCAACACAGTACAGTAACCGGGATACCGGGATACCGGGAAACCGAAAAACCAGGAAACCGAGAAATCGAGAAACCGGGAAACTGGGATACCGGGATACCGGGATACCGGGAAACCGGGATACCGGGAAACCGGGAAACCGGGAAACCAGGATACCGGGAAACCGGGATAGCGGGATACCGGGATACCGGGATAGTGGGATAGCGGGATAGCGGGATACCGGAATACCGGGAAACCGGGAAACCGGGATACCGGGATGGGAAACCGGGATACTGGGATACCGGGATACCGGGAAACCGGGAAACCGAGATACCGGGAAACCGGGATACCGGGAAACCGGGATACCGGGATACATGGATACCGGGAAACCGGGAAACCAAGATACCGGGATACCGGGATACCGAGATACCGGGAAACCGGGATACCGGGAAACCGGGATACTGGGAAACCGGGATACCAGGAAACCGGGATACCGGGAAACCGGGATACCGGGAAACCGGGATACCGGGAAGCGGGGAAACCGGGAAATCGGGAAACCGACTGGGATACCGGGATACCGGGAAACCGGGATACCGGGATACCGGGATACCGGGAAACCGGGAAACCGGGATACCAGGAAACCAGGATACCGGGATACCGGGATACCGGGAAACCGGGATACCAGGAAACCCGGATACCGGGATACCGGGATACCGGGAAACCGGGAAACCGGGATACCGGTGTAAAAAATCAGACCTATGTGCACAATGTGCACAAGGAGAAGCTGGTTCTGAGATGTTGAAAAGGGTCTACAAACAGAAAGTTAACAGAAGTGATGAATACAAGCAAAACAAAAGCTAAAATAGGCAGAAAGTGAAGAGAGCTAGTTTGGAGGCGACTTGGGCTGGTCCAGGTGAGGAATTTGGTACCCAAGGGACTTGGGGTGGCCAAATGGGTGCTCAAGTCGCCCACAGTCAAGATGGGGACGTGAGGGACCCTCAAAGTGGGCCTGGAAGCGCCCCCTCTAGTGGAACCGCGATTCCACGAATTGGAAACGCGAATTCCAAGCTGGAGCCGTGTTTCCAACGTTGAAATTCGTGGGTCCAGGCTGGAGCCGCGTCCCCAAGGATGGGAAACGTGCTGGGGTGCCCCAAAGCCGAATTTGGGGTGCCTAGCACTTGATAAAGTCACTCAGGGGGCACCCTATAACTAATATAACCCAACCCCTATTGTCTACACTATTATAATGTAAGCAAATACATACAAACCATAAAACAAACTAGTGAACTAACCTTCAGCATAATTAAAGGAAAATAAGTACCTAACAACAACCGGGATACCGGGATGATGGGATACCGGGATACCGGGAAACCGGGATACCGGGAAACCGGGAAAACCGGGATACCGGGATACCGGGAAACCGGGATACCGGAAAACCGGGAAACCGGGATACCGGGATACCGGGAAACCGGGATACCGGGATACCTGGATACCGGGAAACCGGGAAACCGGGAAATCGGGATACCGGGATACCGGGAAATCGGGATACCGGGAAACCGGGATACCGGGATACCGGGATACCGGGAAACCGGGAAACCGGGATACCGGGAAACCGGGAAACCGAGATACCGGGATACATGGATACCGGAAAACCGGGAAACCAAGATACCGGGATACCGGGATACCGGGATACCGGGAAACCGGGATACCAGGAAACCGGGAAACCGGGATACCGGGAAACCGGGATACCGGGAAACCGGGATACTGGGAAACCGGGAAACCGGGATACCGGGAAACCGGGAAACCGGGAAACCGGGATACCGGGAAACCGGGATACCGGGAAACCGGGATACCGGGATACCGGGAAACCGGGAAACCGGGATACCGGGAAACCGGGATACTGGGATAGTGGGAAACCGGGAAACCGAGAAATCGGGATACCGGGAAACTGGGATACCGGGATTCCGGGATTCCGGGATACCGGGATACCGGGATACCGGGATACCGGGATACCAGGAAACCGGGATACCGGGATACCAGTATACCGGGAAATTGGGATACCGGGAAACCGGGATACCGGGAAACCGGGATACCGGGAAACCGGGAAACCGAGATACCGGGAAACCGGGATACTGGGATACCGGTATACCGGGAAACCGGGAAACCGGGAAACCAAGATACCGGGAAACCGGGATACCGGGAAACCGGGAAACCGGGATACCGGGAAACCGGGATACCGGGAAACCGGGATGCCGGGAAACCGGGATACCGGGAAACCGGGATACCGGGAAACCGGGATACCGGGAAACCGGGATACCGGGAAACCGGGAAATCGGATACCGGGATACCGGGAAACCTGGATACCGGGATACCGGGATACCGGGAAACCGGGAAACCGGGATACCGGGAAACCGGGATACCGGGATACTGGGATACCGGGAAACCGGGATACCGGGATACCGAGATACCGGGATACCGGTACACCGGGAAATTGGGATACTGGGAAACCGGGATACCGTAATACCGGGATACCGGCATACCGGGAAACCGGGAAACCGTGAAACCGGGATACCGGGAAACCAGGGTAGTGGGATACCGGGAAACCTTGAAACCGGGAAACCGGGAAACTGGGATACCAGGAAACCGGGAAACCGGGATACCGGGAAACCGGGATACCGGGGCGGATATAACCTTTAAGACGTTTCACCCTGTGTGCGACACCTGACAGCCACCAACTCACCAGTAATCTCCTCCCAGGGCGTGCGCGAGTGGGGGGACACGGCAGAGAGGTCAGGGGCGGGGACGGGTGCAATGCCGTGGATGCAGAGGGGGTTGGCCAGCCCCTTGTAGCGCCGCTGCTGCAGGCGGTGTGATCGCACGAAGCCAGCCTTCTCAGGGAAGGGGAAGCACGGCTCGTCCACCCTGTTGGTACATGGTGAGGGGGAGAGGGGGGAGGGGGAGCGCGTGGCATGTGTGATGAGAGTGATGAAGTGAAAGGGGGGGCAAGAGGCCTGCAGTGGGAGGCAACGCATGCGGTGGAGGGGGAGGTGCAAGCATACCTGGAGTTGCCGTTGATGAAGGAGCGCAGCTGCATCTTGCCCAGCGCATGCTCTGGCCGCACACTGAGCGCCCACATGTACGCATTCTCCACATCGTGCTGCACCATAAACGCCTCTTCGCCCCGCTGGTTGGGTGGGTATGGGTGAAGGGGGAGAGGCAGTAGGGCGGGCATGCAGGCACATGAAGCCTCTCCGCATGATCCCGGCGCACACTGAGCGCCCACATGTATGCATTCTCCACATGTGCTGCACCATAAACGTCTCCTCGCCCCGCTGGTGTCGGAAGGTGGTCAGGAGGGGGGAAGGGGGGGGTGTGTGGGCGGTGGAGGGTGAGAAGGATGGGGGGAGGTTAGGCAGTGGGGCGGGCATGGAGGCACATGACGCCTGTCCACGTGCCCTGGCCACACATTTAGAGCCCACATGTATGCATTCTCCATGTCGCGCAGTGCTATAAACGCCTCCTCTCCACGCTCGTTCAGGAGGTTGCAGGGGGGAGGAAGGGGGGAGGGGAGGGGACGAAGGTTGAACAGTCATGAGAGAGTGGAGTAAGGCGCAGGAGGAGCACAGGGCACGGGAGAGCGCACCGATTGGGAGAGGGTGGAGGCGTAGTAGTGAGAGAAGAAGAAGTGTGCGCCCCACACACGGTCCTCCCGTGCACTGTACCGCCTCGGGATGCCACTGCTGCTGCGGCCGACGGCCGCGCTCGTGGGAGCAGCAGTTTCAGTAGGAGCGGCGGTAGCAGTGGGAGCAGCACGCAGCGTGCCCCCGTTGCCGCCGCCAGCACAGACACTTAGGCCAATTGCAGCGCAGCACGTGTCCACGTCCCTCACTGCCTCTGCCGTACATGCACGCACGTTCACGTTCATGTCAGCGCCTGCTTCTGTGCCCAGCTCCAGTGTTGCTGCCCTCCCTGCTTCTTGCCATGCACTGCTGCTCGAACCTCCCATGCCTTCCATGTCCACTATCCCCATCCCTGTCGCTGCCCTTGCTGCTGCTGCTGCTGCTGCTGCTGACCTTCCGCCTGTTGCTATAGTCCTTGCTGTCGCGGTAGTCTTAGCTGTTGCTGTTTCTGCTGGCGCTGTTGCTTCTGTTTCTTCTGCTGCTGCCGCTGTTGGTACTGTTGCTGTTTCTGCTGCTGGTGTTGGTGATGTTGTTCCTAATGTTGCTGCTGCTGCTGGTGCTGCAACTTCTGTTGCGTTTTCAGCTGCCGGGGCTGCTGCTGCTGCTGCTGATAAGGCGGTTTCCCCTGTTGGTGGTGGGGAAGGGCAGGGAGCAAGGGTTGCGATGGGCCGAGGCGGGTGGATGGAGGAAGGGCGTGGGTAAGGTGCAAGGCGTGGTGCTACTGGTTGCTGCCCGTAAGCAGTACCAGTGGCAGACGCAGTGTATTGCGGCTGCTGTAGCCATAGCTGCTGCTGGTTGTGCTGCTGCTGTGGCTGCTGTTGCACTTGCTCTGGCTGCTGCTGCTGCTGCTGCTGCTGCTGCTGCTGCTGCTGCTGCTGCTGCTGCTGCTGCTGCTGCTGCTGCTGCTGCTGCTGCTGCTGCTGCTGCTGCTGTTGCTGCTGCTGCTCCCGCGGCGGCTGCTGCTGGCCGCACTCTCCTGGCGGCACCATGTGGCACGTGCTGGTGGCGTGCGTGCACGCGGAGCTGCTCCCACCCACTCCCGCACCAGCTCCTGTGGCCGACCCACTCTCCCTGAAACCACCAGATCTGGAGGGTACAGTGGGTCTGGAGGCTATAGCTCCTCTGGTGTTTGCATTCAGTGCAGCAGGAGGGGCAGGAGCAGTAGCAGCGGTGGACGGTGGGTGGCTGTCAAGGCTGAAGATCAGCCTCGGTGCAAACCGGGTTGCCGGGGCACCAACCGGAGCTATCTCAATGTCCAGGTTCGGCGCCGGACCTACATCCCACCAGAGGGCCATTCCGCCAACATCCCCGCCCCCATCTCCCCCACCATCTCCGCCAGTATCCCCGCCAGCATCAGCGCCTGCTTCTTGCCCGCCCCCCTCCTCTGATACTCCTTGCTCCGCCTGCTGCTCCCGCCTGTTCTCCCCTTCCTCCCCCCCTGCGCCCTCCGCGGACCCACTCTCCGCGTTCTCCCCTCCCGCGCCCTGCTGGAAAGCCCTCAGAATCGCCAGCTCGCCGTTTCCGCCAAGCTCGCCAGCCCTATCGCGCTCTTCCATCCCGCGCTGCTCCCCCTCTGCGCCACCCACGTTGTTGCTGCTATTCCCCCTCCCACCACTCCCGCGCTGCTCCCCCTCTGCGCCACCCACGTTGTTGCTGCTATTCCCCCTCCCACCACTCCCGAAGTCCCGCGCATCCCCACCAACGCCGCTCTCCCCACCAACCGCGCCATTGATTCCAGCTGCAACACCAGCAGCAGCAACAGCGTCAGCCGCAGCAGCAGGAGCAGGAGAATTCGCGGCCGCCGCTGCAGCCACGTCAGCGTCATCAGTGGGATGAGCGGGACGAGCGGCACCAGCGGGATGCGCGGCATTGGCGGGGAGGGAGGCAGCAACGGGGTGGTGCGCGGGGGAGGCGGCGTCGAGATCGAGGTCGAGGCACATGGACATGGGGAGGGGGAGAGGCAGGTTAATGTCCGGCGGATGCAGGTCGTACGGCAGCCGGATCATGCGCGTCGCAGCGTCGCACGGCGCGTCGCACGGAGCGTCGAAGTTCATGTTGGGGGTTTGGAGGTCGAACGCGCCTCTAGACGGAGGGCTGGATGTGTTCTCGCCGTAGTTATCAGTGTTATCATTGTTGCTGTTGCTGCTGTTATTGTTCTCTGTTACTGGCGGCTCTAACGGAATCCGTCCGCATTGGCGCGCGCTGGAAACGGGAAACTCGTGCTGGTTTTCGGACAGAAACGGCGCGGCGTTGTGGGACTGGAAAGACGACGCGGACTGCACGTTAAACGCGAGGGAGTACGGATTTCCGCCAAGGAAGGGAGCCGCGTGCGGGGTCTGAAGGGTGGGGCACGCTTGAAGGTTAGGGAAAGCTTGAAGAGTAGGGCACGGTTGGAGAGTGGGGTAGGAGTGGCGGATATCGAAGGAAAGGCCGCCTGGGAGGTTCTGCGAGCACGCGTCGAAATTCATGTCGAGGATTTGCAGGTCGAACGCGTTCCGAACGGAATCCTGGTCCTGGCATGCTCCCTCCCGCCCCTGCCCGTGGCTCTGAGCCTGCTGCCCCTGTGCCTCGCCCGCCTCCTGCTGCTCCAACTCCCACTCGAGGTGCATGTCGCGTGAAGGAAGGAGAGCAAGACTAGCGCATTAATGGCTGAAATGGTGGGGGAGGCGAGCTACAGTCGAAAGTGGCAGAATGGAAGCGGAGCGTGGAGGAAGTGCGAGATTTAACGACGAGAGCGACGGGTTGTCGTCGCGAGCAATAGCTTCATCATGGCTCACGACTGATGCGGTTGCCGCGGAGGGGTCAGCAATTTGTGATTTGTGAAGGGTCTGTATTGCCTGGGCTGAGATGGAGCTACTCATGTTATGGATTTATCCGCGATAAAACGTCAATCCGACTGGAGTTGTTCCAAGAATATACCTACGTGAATATTGAAGACGTATACATATATATAAGAGCTCCTCTGGTCCATATCAGGGAGTTCATGCAGCCATACCTGCCAGCAGGCAACTACCGTCAACACACACAAAATAGTCATATAGGGGCAAAACTATAGAAACACCTTTCGAAAGTGCCAAAACTCTTGAAAGTCTGAAACCTTATGTTAGGGCAGTCTGCATGTTGCACAGCTGCTGCAGGCCACCAGTCTTGCGCGTGTTAGGGGACTGAAGATGTCTTTATGCAGCCGTGGATTGACCCTGTCAGACACCTGAAGTATCCCATACGACACCTGCGGTCCTCGTACAAAATCAGGTATGCACAGCAATGTACACATCCTATCCCATCCCCAAAAAACAGCCCCACCCCCTCCCCAGGCAGCCCCCTTTCCTCCCCACTCCCTGCCCCCACCCCTCAACCTCCTGGTCACCCTTGTAGGTACATCTTCCCCATCCCACTGCACCCCCACACCCCCCCACCCCCCCCCCACCCCACCACCACCCTATGCATGCTTTTTTGGTGCTGTGGCTGTGCCTGTCCGCTTTCCCTTGCCCAAATGTGCTGACAGACACTCAGCTGGAAGCACCCTGAGGTTGTGGAAAGCAGTGTCTGCTGCCTGGCATAGGGACGGGTGGGCAGGCAGAAGCAGATGAAGGGAGATGTAGGGTTGCAGATATAGGGAGGAGAGGACTCGGTGCAGAATGGTTGGACACCGGAGCAGGTGAAAAAACGGTGTAAGATAACAGCAAGACAGTGCAGAGATCAAACTGGGTAGACACATCGTGCAGTCAGCTCAAGATACACGTAGGCACGTGTTAGACTCACCTTCTGTACATTTTGGTCCGCGAAACGCAGACGGCACCCTTCTGACCCCTTCTCTGCTGCACTCTCCACAGGATTGCTGGCCAGCGTGCTGCCAGCAACCACGCCCATGCTGCTGCCAGCACCCGTATCCTGCATGCCTGCTTCATTCCCTGGAAGGGATCCCCCAGTGACTGCTGCACTGTGAGCCGCCTGAGAGGGACTGGCTGCAGGAGGGGGATGAGCAGCCTCGGCTGCTGTCACCTCCCTCTCATCACACAAGCCCTTATCCGCCTCCATGCCACCTGACCTCTCCACATTCTCCCTGCCCTCTGGTGTCTTCTCCCCGCCTTCTGATGCTCCCTCGGCCCCCTTTGGTGCCTTCTCGCAGCCCTCTGGTGCACCCTCAGCGTCTGCCATAGTGGCATCTCCCTTGTCTGCCGCACCCACTTCTGCCGTCCTCCCTGCACCACCATCCTCCTCCTGCTCTCCACTGCTCGCCGCGCTTCCTTTCTGTGCAAGGGTTGCCTTATGCCGCGCCACCATCATGGCCACAATCCAGTCAAACACCTGCACGTGGAAGAAAAACAGAATAACACACAAGAAAACATACACATTGAGCACGTACCACATGTCACTTACCGAGCCGAGCACAGCACACAAAATAAACCAGGCAACATGAGAGCGCATTCAGCCTGACTGACCTGAGCAAGGCGGTAGCGGGGGTGCTCCAGGGCGTTTTGAGGGCCATACCGCCCTGTGCCCTGGCACTCCGGACAGAAAACCTCAGTCAGCGGCAACAGCTTTACTCCCTTCAGCGCCTCTGCGCCCTCAGGCGCAGCTGGCGTTGCTGGCACTGCTGTTCCTCCTGTTCCTACTGACACTGCTGCCTCTGATTCTGCCCCTTTGCCTGGCACGCCCTTGCTGGCAGCTCCAGCTGCTCCAGACGCTGCTACAGGCGCTGATGCCGGCACTGCTGAGGGCACGCCGCTCTTCGCCTTGCCTGGCTGCTGTGCCACGGTGTCAGCTGAGCTGCGCTTGCCCAGAAGATGTGACATAGCAGATGCAGAGGCAGGAGGAGCAGGAGGTGGAGCCATCAGGGACGCAGCAGCCGACGCAGCAGCTGTTGCCACGATGGCCACCACTGCTGCATCTTCACTGGACACTGGCCCTGCGTGAGTCAAGGACGCACAAATGTCAGTACACTGCTGTATATTCATGTATAACAGCATAGCAGTAACTGCTGAAATGAGAAGGCTGGAAGTTATCAGAAGGGGAAAGAGTACCTGTGGCAGCAGCAGCAGCCAGGGCAGAGGTTGCAACAGCAGCAGCGGTGGCAGGGGAGTGAATTGCGTCTGGGATGCCAGCCCACGCCCACGCGTCGGAATGATTCTCGTCACTGCTAGCACTGCTGCCATCAGCATCCCCACCCGGCCCCACACGCTCAGCCCCATTAGACTGAGGAGCATCTCCAGGCTGGTTATTCGCAATCGCTTCAGCAGCAGCACTGGCAGACACAGGAGCACTACCGCCAGCCTCAGCAGCAGTAGCAGCAGCTGCTGCAGCCCCTGTGACCCTGCCAGCAGCAGCAGCGGCAGCAGGTGTGGCAGCGCCACTGGCCTGGCGGCTTGGCCCCAGGGACGGCGCGTGTGCCTTTTGGTGGCGGTGCATGGAGGAGAGGAGGTGCGCCACGTCAGCCTCGAGCGGGCAGCAGAGGGCGGGCGGCACACTGGTGCTGGCGACCGCGGAGCAGAAGACCACCCAGTCCGCTATGCAGTGCGCGTGGAATATGTGGAACTTCTGCTCGCAAACACAGGGGGGTTTCGGAAAAATTGCAGACGAAGGTTATAATTTGGAAGAAGAAAGGGTCAAGGGAAACTGGAAAGGAAGAAGCTGGAGGGAGGGGAAATATGGGTGCGTATCACCTTGTGTCGGTTCCTGCTGCTGCAGGCAAATTGTTTCAAGCGTGCATTCCACAGGGCTCCAACCACCTGCCCTTCCATCATGGGCAGCTGGCACAGAAAGCACACTCTCGTTGCAGATGCCCCTGCACCAGCTCCCAGAGCTCCTTTCCGTCTCTTAGCTGGCACTGCAGCCGGTGCTGTGGCTTCTCCAGGGGCGTCGACCCCTGCCGCTGCTTCTGGCACTGGAACCGCAGGTGCAGCTGCATTCACAGTCGCTTCGTCTTCAGCTCTACCAGCAGCCGCCTCGTGCAGCTCAGGCGCGGGAGTAGAGTCGTCGCCAGTGCGAGCTCCACGTGCTTCTTCCACATCCGCATTAACTTCAATTGGCTCTTCTGTGCAGTGTGGCTCAGCACCAGACATGCCTTTCGGTTCTTTCTCTTTGTGACCATCATCGTCATCTTGCGGAACATCCTTGTCGCTGGCCTCTTCCGGTTGCTTCTTGAGCTGCTCTGGATGCTCGGAGGGGACATCTGCAAGCAATGGCAGCTCCTCCTTCTGACTGTGCTTCTCACAAGAACTGCCATCGGACCATTTCAGCAGCTGCTTCTCCCACTTCCCCCGGCGACCAATCAGATTCGTGAACTTGAACAACGCCAGGGCGAAGTCCTCAGGTCGGCTTGGCTCATCCGATTCTTCTTCTGCTGCTGCTTCTGGAACAATGTCTCGTGCATCCGCCTCACCATCCGGTGTAACTGCAACAACTTGACCATTGGCTCTTTTTTGGCGCTTGGACCCACCACCAGCTGGCTTAGAGGCATCACTCGTATGAGGCGCTTTACGCTTGGAGGAAGGAGACACGGCGGAGTTTTTCCCTGCAGCAGCGGAGACGGGCAAATTTCAAGGTGCGAGAAGGTTCAACCGGCAGAAAATATGTGGGAGCATGAAGCCGTCGCTCACGGATTGAGCGGTAGGCTCACCTTCCCCAACGAGCTTCCACGGTGGCGTCAACTTGGAAGTTTTCTCCCAAGGGGGACTTCCAGTGACGCTGGACGGTGGTGAGGTGATCGGTGTAGCTTCCGCCTGTTTCCGCATGTGCTTCTTCCCATGAATATGGTCGATCAGGCTCGCGTCATGGTAAGCCCATACGCTGCATTCAACACCAGACATCTGAACTCAGTTTCACGCAAAGTCACGACTCTCAAACGACGACGCAGCAAGAGCGGACATGTGAGGGGAGTTTACGAACGAAAAGGAACAAAGCACGGAGCGGCTTACTCGCACAGAGTGCAGTAGAAAATGATGCGTTTGTCGTCCTCTACCACCAGCACCCCTTCTCCCTTGTACAAGCTCTGCAGATGCGATGCAAGCGCTGACGCCAATTTCTTATTCTCAGCAGGCTTCTGAGTCGCCGTTTGCGGAAGAGCAGCCTTTGTTTTCTTCTTGCCATCCTGCTTCTCGGTTTGCTTTGCTCCTCCAGCCGGCTTTTTACTACCCTTCATCCTTCGGTCAGATAACGTGCCTCGCAAAATGCCTTTCACTCCTGAACGAGGTGTTGACTGCTTGGAGGCTTGGCCGTCCGCACCTCGTGCGGAGAACATTGCGACTGTTGATTTCTGAACCATGTGTAAACCTTCGTTAATGATTGGTCTGCAGAAAATAGACCAGACATCAAAGCTGACTAAACTATGTGTGATAAGAACCGTTGACGCTTTGCCACACGTATAACCTACTAGACTCTGAAAGGTCCACTATACAGAGGATATTCGACGGACAAAAACGAAAGATTCTTGTGTGAAGAGAGCTGGGAGATAAAAGGTTCCATAAGCGAAGTTAATTCTGTGTTTGTGGCAGGCGCAGCAGCGTGGATGGGAGCCTTGCTGTCAGAGAACCACACTGAACCAAATGAAACCCTTGTTTTGCCTTGACCAACTGCTGTGAGTCGCATCAGAGGCGGTGTGCGTGACCCGTGACCCGTCCCCTCTCCTCCCCCGTCCGTTTCGTTCTTGCCTTTGCATTCAAGGATGCCTGCTTGGCCGCCTTCCAAGACCAACCAATCCGTCATGCTCGAAGGAATCGTAGCTGTGCGATGATGCCTTTGCGACAGTTACCAACACGGGAATCTATGTCAAGAGGGCTCGCGAAAACCTAACCCGAACCAGGTCAAGGGGCATTCGCCACGTAGGCGGAGGACCACAGCGGATGACGTGGGGCGCGAGGTGGCCCGCCCGGCGATTGGGTCTTTTTCACCCAGAGTGGATGGATGGATTTCGCGAATTCGAAATGGAACTCCTCCTGTGAGCACCCCCTGCCCTGAGACTGATAGGCTGGTTGGATCGCGAACTGTTCTCAGAGACACTGGTTTCGTCGTCCAATCGCTAAGGCCAGTTTCCCGCTAGGATTCTTACAACCACCAGATTCCTCCACACCCATTCGGCACTAAAAACTGCTTGCGCGTAACAAACGCTTATCGGCTCCAGCAGTATCGAGTCAGGCAGCTCCTCGTCCTGGTGACGCTTCCTCCTGTCCCTACCACCAACTTCAATCAAATTTGCAGAAATCATGGGAAATTCATGGGGGGAATTCACGGAACCCCATGAACGGAAATGGAGCCCTTCCCATTGATCGCGCTCCACAGTCCACCAAACCCGATTCTCCAACCACCTTCAATCTCCGTGATACCAACAGCATTTCATGATAAAAAAATGCCTTCGCGCGGTCAATTTTGGACGATCTATTTGGCATTCTCGTGTATCTTCACGTCTGCATTCTCTCCATCCTTGCAAATTTGATCGCGTCAGCACTACCGCTTTCGCTTCAGCGTCGCGTCAAGGGGGTGATACAATGAAGGAGCACGCAAGAAAATGTGGATTCCGGGAACAAAGTCACGAGGCCTTGAAGCAAAAAGCGGGGGCGTGGCAGGATACTCCCGAGGAGGTGTTCACGAAATCGGGCTGGTCAGGCGTGCGTCGCGCGGCCGTGGCAGCGGTGCATCGCTCGTGTGACGCGACGGAGCACTGGGAACCGTGGCTCGGCGCGCTGCTGGCAGAAGATTCCAGGCGCAGGTGAGCAGCGGAGGCGAAGCTAGGGTTGGACTGATGGCTATCGAAAAGCCCGAGGTTTCGTTTTCTTAACTTCTCCGTTTGGCTTTCCCCGTGCAACCCCTCTGCCCGGTCCACTCCAGCCGAATGCTCGATGAGCTCAATGCTGCCCTTACAAGGGCAGGTGCTGCAGGGGAGCCAGACGGGGAGGCAGCAGGTTGGGGACGGGAGGGAGTGGGAGACGAGGAGTCTGGCGTGGTGGGAATCGAGCAGGACGCGGGCAGGGACGAGAGGGAGGAGGCAAGTGCATCAGGGAGGGGAGGCGCGGTGGCAGGGTTTCCGGTGCTGCTGGGTGTGCCGGTGGCAGTGAAGGTGCGAAGCTCTCTGCGACTATTGACCGCCTATTCCAGCAGAACGTTCGCAGATCCCTAGGCACCATGCGCCATACCTACATTGCTGTTGCAGCAAGCGTCTGCGTCCATGTAGTGCCAGTGCTTGCGGAGACAGCATGTGAATTTATGGCCTGTTACATCCCCATGCGTGCGTGGCAGCAGGATCTGATCCACGTGGACGGCTTCTCCACCAGAGCAGGCGCGCTGCCAGGCTTCCCTGCTCTGGACTCCGTGTTGGGGATGAGGGAGGGCGAGGTGCGTGCAGGAGGCAGGTGAGGGAGGGGAGAAGAGTTTTCAAAAGGCAGAGGGTGCATCCGAGTGACAGTCGCCTGCCATTCAATGCACATGGGTGGGTGGATGCATGCGTGCAACGGTTCCCGTCACGTGTTGCTGTCACGTGAGGTTAAATTTCAGTGATCTGTGCAACACAGTCTGTGTGGAACTGTAGATGGCGTTGCTCACCGTGTCTTTGGCGCTTTCCATCCCGTCTGCTCTTGAATCACAGATAATCCAACGGCTGAGGTCAGCTGGTGCACTCATCCTGGTCAGTCCATTCACATCGCACCCAATCACTTGATTATCTGACGTTTTCACATCCTCTACCAATGTCTCCTCCTTGCATGGTACAGGTTCACTCACGTGTAGGATCTCACCAGTCTTGCAGTATGTATTGGCCTTTTCTGTGCTTTTCACGTACCTTACCTCTGACCCCTCTCCTCAGCATCCGTTCATTCCCAATATGATGTTGAACACATGTATGCATGCTCTGCTGCTCTCCTCTCACTTTCCTCTGCCGTCCTTGGTCCAGGGCAAGGCAGCCATGACAGAATTCGCCTACCGCCGCCCGACTCGCACGCGCAACCCTCTCGCTCCAGTTGAGTCACCGCCTGCCTAGTATTGCCATCACGACCACCACACTTTCTTCCAGCCCCACGCGTCCGGTGTGCCTACTCTTGTCCGCACTGTCTCCTGTCCGCTCTGCCTCATCTTCTGCCGCTCTGCCTCACCTTCTCCCGCTCTCATCACCTTCACCCGCGCATCATCTCCCCCATCTGCTCCCGCGCAGTCCTTCACGCCTGGGGGCTCCAGCAGCGGGTCAGCAGCAGCTGTTGCAGCAGGCATCTGTCCGCTGGCCCTCGGTTAGTCTCCCTCCTCCTGCTCCCTCCCCTTGCTCTCTCCTCCCTTCACCTCCTCTCTTCTGCTTCTCCTCTTCCACACCTACCTCTCATCCCCAATGCCACCTCTTGTCCCCGCTCTCTCTCCCCTCTGCTGCTGTCTCCCCTCCCTCGACACCCCCTTCTCCACTCTGCAGCATCACAGACGTGTGCATCCATCTCCCGCCCAGCAGCCTTCACAGCCACGGTGGGCTTTAAGCCATCGCACCACCGCCTCCCCGCCTCTGGCTGTGTTTCGGTCAGCACCCCAGCCCAACCCTCTCTTCCTCTCAGCCCCCGTTCCCCGTCACACGTGCCGAATGCACGGTTGTGGTAAGCTCCGTGTTTAAATAGGATGTGGCTGATATGTGGCTGATACTAGCTTGCGTGCGTGCATGCACTCCTCCACCTCACTCGCATCACCTGCTGCTCGCTTTTTACAAGGCAAAGCACTGCATGACCCACTTGGAAGCGCATCGCTCTATGCCCCCCTGTGCAGCCATCCCCATCCTTGGACCGGTTTGGAGTCATCTCAGCCTCAGTGCGCTGGGCGGCACTCTGTGTATCTTGACAACCTCATCCCCACCCCACCCCACCCCACCCCACCCCAACCCCACACACGCCCCCCCGCGCAGCCATCGCCCTCCCTGGACCAGTTTGGAGTCATCGCAGCTTCAGTGCGCTGGGCTGCTCTCTGGGGTCGAGCCGTGCTGCCCCACTGGCGGCCCCCAACCCCCTCTGGGGCAGTGCACGGTAAGCTGCACTCGCCTTCTCCCCATCTCCCCTGCCCTCGCCTGTGACCCATGTGCCTGTGCCTTTTCGCTTAGAGGCACCTCTGGTGCAGTGGCTCCCGCAATCACCATCACCGCTGTTGACCGCACTCAACTCCTCGTCTCTGCCTCCCTCTTGCACATCTCACCTGTACGCCCTATCTGCCTGCAAACAACCCCTCCAGAGCCGCGCTGTGTGGGAGTCCCTGAGGGGCCGCTGCTGGAGCAGTGTGAAGGGGGGGCAGCGTGGGAGGCGTTTCAGCAGCTGCTGGCGCAGATGAGGGCGAGCAGGTGGGCAGGCGGGGGTGTGAGGGAAATAGGTGACCTGCACCATACCATTATCCCTGTCACCTCCCTCCCTCGTCTCCTGTCGCTTATCCATCCATCCATGCTTCCACTCGTCCCATCATCTCCAACATCTCCCTGCGACGTTTCCCCACTTGCGGCCCTGCCTGCCTGGCAGTGCATGGAAGGTGGTGTCGCTGCCCTGCCTTGACGACTTGCAGCGGATCAAAGAGTAGGTTCCACCCATGCCACGCCACACCTACCATGCCATGCCACGCCACACCTGCCATGCCATGCCACGCCACACCTGCCATGCCATTCTGTGCTGCACTTCACACCAAAATAGTGAGACCCACACGCCATGTGACGTGGTGTCACACAGAGCTATTCGACACTAACTATCCGTTCCATCACGCTTCAGCCTGCTACACGCCTCTCTGTGCCACACACGCTTTTTGCCACACGCACAAGAAAGTGCTCACGGCTCTCATGGCGTTTGAATATGCTCGCTTCCTGGACTCCCTCCACCTGCCTGACCTGCCATCTCTTGTCTCCCCGCCTATAAGCGCAGCGCACAGCGCCCACAGCACACCACCCACCACCTGTGCAACAAAACAAATGCCTGCTGCTGTTATGTTCACCCCACACACGCCATGCCTGTATGCGCCTTGCAGAATCTCCTGAGCTAGAGTCATGGGTGGAACATGCATGCTGTGCGAGCATTGCACCATCAGCATCAGCAGCAGCAGCAGCAGCAGCAGCAGCAGCAGCATCAGCATCGGCATCGGCATCGGCGTCGGTGTCGGCATCACATCAACATCAACATCAGCATCAGCATCAGCATCAGCATCAGCATCAGCATCACATCAGCATCAGCATCAGCATCAGCATCAGCATCCGCATCAGCATCAGCATCAGCATCAGCATCAGCATCAGCATCACATCAGCATCAGCATCAGCATCCGCATCAGCATCAGCATCAGCATCAGCATCAGCATCAGCATCGCATCAGCATCAGCATTAGCATCAGCATCAGCATCAGCATCACATCAGCATCAGCATCAGCATCAGCATCAGCATTAGCATCACATCAGCATCAGCATCAGCATCACATCAGCATCAGCATCGGCATCAGCATCAGCATCGGCATCGGCATCAGCATCAGCATCAGCATCAGCATCAGCATCAGCATCGGCATCGGCATCAGCATCAGCATCGGCATCAGCATCAGCATCGCATCAGCATCAGCATCAGCATCAGCATCAGCATCAGCATTAGCATCACATCAGCATCAGCATCAGCATCAGCATCCACATCAGCATCAGCATCAGCATCAGCATCAGCATCAGCATCGGCATCGGCATCAGCATCAGCATCAGCATCAGCATCAGCATCAGCATCAGCATCGCATCAGCATCAGCATCACATCAGCATCCGCATCAGCATCAGCATCAGCATCAGGATCACATCAGCATCAGCATGAGCATCAGCATCGGCATTATCTCGGGTACATCTCAATGCAGCATTCGCATAGCCATGTTCACATAGCCTATGTTCACATAGCCTATGTTCACGTACTATGTAGCTCAATCAGTCCATTCATAGCCTATGTGATGGCCTGTCTCCCTCGCCAGCTCATGGAGCTAATCACGACTGGGCGAGGGGTGACAGAGGAGGAGGCAGCAGCAGGCAGGGCGTCGTGTGTGGCGCTGCGGCATGCACTGCAGCAGCAGCTGAGGCAGGCTGGTGCAGAGGCCTTCATCGCCCCTGCTGCCACCGGCTTCCCTCCTCCCCTCCATCAAGGTGTGTGGAACAAAGGGGATCTATCAAAGTCAAAATTTTATATTGCTTTCGTCTCTACAATGCTTGCTACGGTACCTCTCCTGCCAGTCAGGCGTGTGGTTGTGACGTGTGGTTCCCATGAGTGCCTTGAGGTTGATGTTTCCCCTCACGTCCCATACGCCCCGCACTCCCCACCAGGCACGACAGGAGACCCCATCATGGCCATCCCCTGGAGCCACTCCGGTCTGTCCACTGTCACCATGCTAGTCGCCCTGTGAGGTTTGACCAGGCCTCTAGTGTCGCCCCTATCCTCTCTCGCATCCCGCCCTCCCCACCAGGCACGACAGGATATCCCATCATTTCCATCCCCTGGAGCCTTGCTGGCCTGCCCACTGTCACCATGCCAGTCGCCCTGAGTGATTTTTGCATGACTCCAGATGTGCCTGTTATGTGTCGCCCCTATCCTTTCTTATGATCATGCTCCCTCGCACCTGCCCCAGCAGGCACGACAGGAGATCCCATCATGTCCATCCCCTGGAGCCATGCGGGTCTGCCCACTGTCACCCTGCCAGTCGCCCTCGCACCTGCTGCAGCTGCTGGCAGCACTCGCGAGGGTGGTTCCGTGCATGAATGCAGCGAGGAGAGTAATGAAGAGTGCAGCAGGGAGGGCAGCAGGGAGTATCTTCCACTGGGAGTCACGCTGGTTGGGATGTGGAACGAGGATGAGACACTGTTGGACGTTGCATTGGAGCTTGAAGGCTTTCTTGATTGCACTTCACCATTGTGAACCAATATAGATTATCCAGGAATGTTGCAAAACCATACATATAATTTTTATTTCCTTGCTCATACAACTGCAGGGCTGCTCCTCAACCAGGGCCTCAGATGTCAGGAATTTTACCCTGAATTCCTGAAGTTTGACCCCCGTTTTTTATCATGACCCTGATGCATCAGCCTTTTTTTTTCAACGACCCTGATGTTTCAGTGTTTTTAAATTTCGAACTCTGATTTTCCAGTGTTTTGTGTTTGAGGACACTGACGAGTCAGTGTTGTATCGGGGTCTACCCTGAAACCGAAAACTCCTTGTTTTGGCGCGCCGTCACTGTGCACCGTGCACCAAGGGGATTTCTGACGGTACTCCTGTCGCAGCTGACTGGAGAAGAGGTTATGAAGCTGACGCAGCTGGCCAGCACGCGGTCCCTGGCAGGGAGGACTATGTATTGGCAGTTGCTGTCAACAGATGGCCGCGGAATCCTCGGAACGCCTGCGGAGGTGGGGAAGAACGGAGAGGTGCTGCTAACGAACAGATCCAGCCCGATCCGACTCGAACTATACAGACTGACCCCGCTGATTGTTGAGGAGGGCAGACTGGTGGGAGAAGCGGGCCTCCCGCTTTCACGTCTGAGGCTGTCGGTGCTCTGTGCGAAAGGGCAAAGCGCATCACTAAGGCAGCTGCGAGCAGAACTGAAGGGACCAGTTGAGCAGCCGAAGCAGCAGAAGAAGTGGGAGGAGTATGGGAGATCAATTGACTGGAAAGGTGCCATCCGAAAACGGGACACTTTGGTCACGCTGGGCAGAGCGAGGGAAATCATCTTGAGGCTACACTGCAAAAACCTCCAGGTGGGGGACAGACTGCACTTCATGAAAGAGCACATCAGCTGCCCGCACTGCAAGAAGGACGAAACCCTAGCGCATTGTCTACTTGAATGTGAAGTGATACAGCCTGTCATCGGCGCGCTGAAGGGGGCGCTGAAGCAGATGAATCCAAACCGGGAGGTGGGGAGGTTGGAAGACTTCCTGTTCGCGGAAGATGGCACGAAATCGGGCTTTCCAGAAAAACCGCTGATAGCAGTGGCATTTCATCAGGTGTAGCTGGAGAGATGCGAGGCAGCTTTCCGACAAGACACGTTTCAGCCTTTGAGGGTGCTTCGGAGGATTGGTGTGAACTTCATGAAGCACGTCAGGATATACAGTGCCCACAAACAACACGTGGCAAACATCAGCAAGCAAGGAGGCGGGCAGAGCTGGGCCTCTTTGGAGCGGGACGAGGCTGTAATGCTGAGCCGGATTTTCCAAGATGAAGACACGCTGACGTGGAAGGATGGCTTTAGATCGGTGTGGTCCAACCCGAGAACAGCCTTCCAACCACCTTAAAGCGCTAGTGGAAGGGCAGTGTTGACTTTTTTGTCCTCCCGGTCCCTTCCCCCTTCCAGTTACGACTGTGGATGTAACCGCTTATATAAGTGTAATGCATCCTTTAAAAAAAAAAAAAAAAAAAAAAAAAAGACAGGGCGAATCTCTTGTGTGAGGGGCGAATCTGCTGCTGTGTCAGGGCAAATCTGCTGTGATTGGGCGAATTTGCTGTGCTGCGACAGCGCGTAACGACTGTGCGAGGTCGAATTTGCCGTCAGGGCGAATCTGTTGTGACGAACCAAGTCCGAATCATCAGTCAAGTACACAACCAGAGATCAGAAACAATTGTCCTATTCGATTGGTCAGACAAGATTTCTGACCAATCAGACACGGAAATAGCAGAATCCTGGCCGAATTTGGGAATTGTAAAGTGAGGGCAGTCTGATTCGCTGTGTTATGACAGCATACCAGTAAAGCAACTATGCTGATCAGTGTTGAAGTTGTAGAAACCCTGATTGATCAGCGTTTTATTTCTAACAACCCTGTAAATTCAGTGTTTCACACTAGACGACACTGAAAATCAGTGTTACCCTCCTAGGGACACTGAGTGCTCAGGGTACACAAAAACCAATCTGAGGCCCTGTCCTCAACTATCTTTGAGTCCGTCAATAACATAGATTGCCCCCTCCCTACAGGTCAGGCCTGCCATCCCACGGAAGCGCGCCAAGCCTCCACACACCCGCCTGTCAAGTGTGTGTATCCCGTCCCCTCATACTTGACCTCAATCCCTGGGTTCGTTTCTCCTTCTTGACCCACAAGGCCATTGGAGTTGAAACTGGGGGGACAAGAGGGAGGGGGAGTAGTGCCATCCGCATCAGCACCAGCAGCAGGGACAGCAGTGATGGCAGAAGCAGAACAAAGGTGATGCATTGCAGTGTGCAGGCGGTGCCACGTACCACACCCCTTCCTCCTCTTTCCACCTCCCTCAAGCTGTTGACGGCCTGCAGATTGCGTGCCACACCATGCCATGCCATACCACACCATGGCATGCCACACCATTTGTCAACATGTTTAATGGGCTTTCACCCGTCCAATCTTCAATCACTCACCTCAGATGTAATCCCTTTCACTCACCTCAGATGTGATCCCTTTCAGTCACCTTACAGGAAGGTGGGGGGGGAGCGGAAAGGGGAGAGCAGGGGAGGGCGGAAAAGGAATGGGGGGGGTGGGGGGGGAGAAGGGAAAAAATGGGCGCTTTCCCCTTTTGCCAGTCCTCTCCGTCCATTCCCCCTCTTCTCCCCTCCGCTCCGCCCACCTTCGCCTTTCTTCTCCCCTCCACTCACCTCCCCTCCGCTCTCGTCCTCCCTTTTTCCCGTCTTGCATCCAGGCCGGGACCATCGACGCGCACTCAAGTCCTGGAAGATGAGGGGAGCGCGGAAAGGGGAGGGGAAAAGCGGAAAGGGGAGGGAAACCTAACGGGTAGTGGAAAAGCGGAAAGGATAGGAGAAAAGCGGAATTAAGAGGAGAAATGGGCGCTTCCCCCTTTCTCCAGTCCGTCCATTTCCCCCTATTCTGCCCTCCGCTCACCTCCACCTACCTCCACTCACCTCCCGTCCTCTTTTTCCGCGTCTCGCGACCAGAATACAGTCAACAATCTGAAGTCACGAGGGGGAAGGCGTAGAGGGGAAGGCGAAGGAGAAATTACAGTCGCCTCCACTCACCTCCTTTTCCGCGTCTTGCGTCCAAGATACCGTCGACGCTGTGAAGTAGACGAAACGCGCTGTCTAATTGACGAAGCGCGAGTCGCTACTGATGCGTCAGAAATCGACGCTACTAATTCGTCTGCTACGAATGTTACTATTTCGCCCGCTACTACCATGTAGATAGAAGTCATATCTGGAGCGCGCAACTTAGACTGTCTTACTAGAATGCGATATCTATTCAGATCTAATACTGCTAGCATACCAATAGAAGCGTAAAATGATTAGAAATACGCACGACCGAGGGCGTGAGCTACATAAAATATTTCGCTGTCATGAAAAGCTGTACTTAGATCGACTACCGCGCAGAGATCTGTCTTCACAGAAAAATAACTATCGAGACTAACGAGATGCGTGGCGAAACTACTACTAAATGCAAGTTAGGCTAATGGAAGTCACATACATCTGGGAAATGGCGGGTGAAGTAATGGTGGCAGGTTAGGAGTACCAGGCCCGGTATCAGGTCCGGTGGTTGTGCCAGGGTGTCAAAAACACCTTCATCCCATTGGCTCGCGTAATTGTTTTCTCATCCATCCATTGTTATTCCAGCTGCCCGAGCAGGTTCAGAGGATGAGAGTGAGCCAGCTGACTTTGCCTGAACCAAAGCCGTCCCGCACCTCACGCAAAACCCACACGGCTAAAAAAACTTACGGCCCAAACCAACTAAAGATATCGCCACGTCAACCACCTCCTAGAAACCTCGAGCCTATCCTTGCTGTTGCACACCAGCATGCTCAACAAACCTCCCCAATCACCAAACCTCGCCTTTGGCGTACGCGTTTGCATACGGACAGGTCAATCCGATTTGTACAGGTGTTCCTGGTTAGAGGCCCTCGTTGAGAGAGTCCCTTTTCCCCCCTGAGTAGAAATTTCCGATATCGCCTATTGTTGGCCCGACCCCTATAGTCCCATTTTTGGCGGGAAATTTTGCAGCTTGACCGAATCACTGCACGAATCAGCTCCGCAGCCAATCAGAGGCTCCAGATCAAACCAGCCCAACATTCAAAGAAAACGACGAAAAAGGGATCATCGATTCGACATTTTAACTTTTTAATTGTAATTAATTGTTTCTCATGACCGCGACTAATTCTCAATCCTGTCGCGCTGTCTCCAGCACGATCGACGATGACATCTCATTTATCTCGCTTACAGGGTAGAAACGAAGTTTTTGGGTTACTATTCGACCCCCAAACCATAGTTGATTTTGTATATTTTTTACCGTTAGTCATGCGACATTGATCAGCGTGGAAAACCGTGCGACTGGAAGTTGAAGCAAGCGCGGTCCAAATCTACGTAAATGCCAAACTCCAGAAAATAGTAGCGAAACAACCACTCTTGATGCAATTTTCCTGAACGGGACTATAAGTATCGCGTTTTGCCTGGGG